AGCCACTGGAAAGAACAGGTCACACTGCAATCACAGTCAAGAGCACAGTAATAAATTAATGCATACACTCTAGAGCTCTTCCTAGAAAAAGTGCTACCTACATGCAGGCTGGATCCTCCTAGCTCACTCAGCTCAATAAGAAAATCACTTACAGGCCCTCTTATCTAGACAATTTATTATTGAGATTTTAGTTCTAGGTGACTCTAGATTATGTCAACTTAAAAAAAAAATCATTGCTAACCTATCTGTAACAATTCACAGAAATTGACGGGGAGGGGGTCGAGAAGAGAGAGAGAAGAAAAAATTTTAAACACCAAGTAAATGGAGGACTATACTACACAGACACAAATGGGAAGGCTAATGTAAACACTTAGATTCTCTCCAAAATTTACCTATAAATTAAATGCAATCCTTTGCAAACTCCTACTCCTTCACAGAAACTTACTCTAAATTAGCATACTCAAACTATGGGTTGTAAGTCCGCTGGCAAACCTGTATCTGCAAAAATATTGACATTATGATTCATGACAGTAGCAAAATTACAGTTAATGGTATAGAAATAAAAATAATTTTTTCTCAAAAATAATCTTATAATTTGGAAGTCACCACAACATGAGGAACTATATTAAAGAGCTACAGCATTAGGAAGGTTGAGAACCACTGTTATGAACTATAATAGAACTCCAAACAACTAAAAATATTTATATATGTAGTCACTGAGTTTTGACAAAAAAATGTTCTGTTAGTAGAATAATGGGAGAAAATGGATTTCCAATTCATACCCCTCCAAAAAATATTAACAGATACTGAACCTCTATTTTACACCATACCATAAAAATTATTCTTGACTTTTATCCTACACATTATGCAAAGTAAATTTCCAGGTGAACTGTAGATCTAAATGTAAAAGTTTAAATATAAATAAAGTTTTTAGAAGAAAATACTGAAATAACTTTAACTTTTTACTTTTTATGGATTTCACAAGATGCATCTCCATCCCTTTCATCTCTCCATCCCCTCGATTCTGTCCTCTCGCAATCTCCCCACCAAAATAAGATTTAAAGTAAAACCCCAAAAAACAAAACAAATTAAAAAAAAAAAAAAAAAAAAACCAGCACAGAAGGTAGTGTGGCCCAGTAAGTCACACACTATATCCTTTAGTCCATACATCTTTACTTAAGTGTTTACTGTAATGAATATTTGGTCTGGTTGAAACATCTTTTTGACTTTTAGGGTAAACAAAGATTTCCAAGTGGAGAAAAGTAATAACAAAAGAAAAAAAGTAAATTGAATAACATTAAAACTGTTAATTTATCATCAAAAAATATTATCTAGAAATTTAGAAGGTAACCCAGAATGGAAAATATACACAAAGATATATTAGGTACCTAAGATTTATATTTAATATGTGTCTTAGGGTTTCTATTGCATGATAAAATATCATAACCAAAAGTCACTTGGGGAGGAAGTAATTTGTTTCTTTTTACTATTCTCAGGTTGTACTCCATCACTGAGGTCAGAGCAAAAAATTGAGGCAGGTACCTGGAGGCAGGAACCATGGAGTGATGCTAATTACTGGCTTTCTCCTTGTGGGCTTGCTTCACCTGTTTTCTCACACAACTCAGGACCACCAGCCAGAGACACTACTGCCCTCCTACCCCAGTCCCACTCACATCAATCATTAATCAGGAAAGGCCCTGCAGACATGCCTACAGACCAATTTTCTCAACTGGAAGTCCCTCTTCCCAAACAACTCAGGTTGACATAAAACTAACCAGCAAAAATATATGAATGATCCATATAAATAATTTTTAATGTAAATAAAACTAATAAAAGGCATATCACAAAAGAGTCTATCCTAAATGGCAGCAAGTATAGTCTCAAAGCAATACCATGATCTCCCCACCAGAACAGATGACGGTGTAGACAAGAATGCAGAAACTTTGGAAGGGATATTTACTGCCAATGGGACATAGTTTGGGAAACTGGCAACCCTTATAAAAAATAAGCATACCTACAATTAAAGGAATCCCTCTCCTATTTTGCCAGCTGAAATGAATTTCCACTAAAAAAATACAACAAAATATTCTCAACAATGTGATTCACAAAATAGCCCAAAATTTCAAACAACCTAAGAAGCCACTCAACAAGGGGATGCAACAAGCTGTACTACATTCACACTAAGGAATAGGATTCAACAAGAATAATGGACAAGGGCTGTGATATATACAGCTCAGTGGTAGAATGCTTACTTGATCATAGAGAAGAGGGAACAACACACGTGGACAGACAATAAAACAAAAAATAAAAACCTACAACTCATTAAAGAAAGCCAAACACAAAATAATATGTGCCCAACTCCATTTATACACAGTTTAGGAATAGGATAATTAATCTACAGCGACAGAAGAAACATTCCAGCAGCATCCTTTCCTCTCTTTCTCATGTTAAGAAGTAAGTTTCTCTGGATTAAGAGGATCAATGAAAGGAACAGAAGTTTCCTGAGGTGATGAAAATACTCCCCATAACAATCTGGACAATTCCACCAAAATTCCTTGGGCTGTAAATTCCTGTGCTTTACTGAATGTGAATTATACACAAATATTACTAAATATGTAAACTAACAGCCAAGATTCTAGAATGACTGTTTACAAAGTGCCATTCTGAAAGTTGCTTATCCTTGACAACAAGAGAACTTGAGCCAAGTGTCTTTACCATTCTTTTCCCTCAAAAACAAAGGCTTGCTCTAAAAGCATCAGCTGAAGGAAACAGGAGCTGACTGGGGATGCAGCCCAGTGCTGGAGTGCATACACAGTATGCACAAGGCCCTGGGCTAAATTCCTAACAGGACAGGTGGGTGGCTTCCTCTAAACTGCATCAGTAGTGACAACCAGTATACAAGCTAGAGAAATTTCCCGTATATTAACCTAAGCTGGAATTAACATTGTTGTAAAGCTCAAGGAAAGAGAGAGCATGCTAAAGTTCATTTGAAGTTAAGTTACAAGTATTAGAATTATTTTAGCAAAGGAAAAGAAAACAGAAAAAGGAAACAATTCAAGTAAAAATAGTAAGATGTCAGAGTGAAGTATATAAAAAAATGCAAGTGCAAACTCCTTGGTTAAAAGGAAAAGACAAAATTAATTTTAAATAAATTATCTTCTAAGGATCAAACAGGGAGGGAAATATACAAATAAAACTGACAAACTATACTGATATATGGGCACAAAGAGGGAAGACAAAATGCATCAGCCAAAAGAGGCAGCTCAATCAAGACCACAGTTAAGTGATGTATCATGAAAGCTGAACTGTCTAAGAAAAAGATATGAACATTCATCTAAAACAGTAAATCCACTATCAAAAAAGACCTCAACACGCTGTTGTTGATCCCTCTATCCTTCCTCAAACCATCTTCCCCTTGGACCAGAAAAGAAAAATATCTAAATTGGGCATGGTAATGCACACCTTTAATCCCAGCACTTGGGAGACAGAGGAAAGCAAAGCTCTGTGAATCTGAAGTCACTCTGGTTGACACAGAGAGTACTGGGATAGTCAGGTCTACATAGTAAAACCTAGACTCAAAAAGAAGCAGAGAGAAAAATGAGGAGTCACCATCTTGTTCTAAAGTACAGTGTGAAGACTCACTGCTTCCTATCTGTTATTCTCAAGCATACTAATCAAGACATACACTCATGGATTTTAATAGCAAGGTTATCCATGTACATTCTAAACTCTAGAGAGAGCCTTCCATCTGTTATGACAATGAACCTTTAAAAACTGCATCCTAAGTGACTTACTACTGCCATCTACTGGAAAAAATGTTGATACACACCTCAATTATAGACTTAAAAGGTCTTTTACTAAAGAATATAGGATGTAATAAACTGTAACTTTAACCTGAGTCAAATGAAGATAACTCTGTAAACTACATACACAAAGATTTCCTTATAAAAGCCTCTTGTAAAATATGATTTCTCCATGTCATAGGCTTATATGAATATAGAAAGTTATGCTGCCTGAAAAGCCAGTTAGAATATTATATCTATAAACCAATTTGATTGCATGAGGATTTTATAACCTAAATAATTACACTGAGCCATTTTAAATACACCAGCTATATTTTATTCGTGTATCGTTAACCATGTTACTTGTAATGTTTTGTAAAAGAGGCATGCATTAATGCCCAGTAGCTTTCTTTCCAGAAACAGGGCTTACATTTCCTATTCCCTGAGTACTTACATGGGACCACAGACAGGCTCTGATTACCAGGTTGTAAGTGAAAGCACCTTGTGCTACTTGCAGGCCAAATAAAAAAATCTCAAGACCATGACTGTCAATACTGTCTTCTAGCACAGGAATAAGGGGCTTCGAAGACAAGATCAAGCTCAGGGACAAAGCAGCTTAGGTCACTAAAGACAACTATAATGGAGAGCTGCCCAGACTTTGCAAAAACAAGCGCCAAAACCTCCCATTGTATTAAGCCACAATGAGTTGGTAATAGAATGGTAGTACATCAACAGCCTAACAGAGGGTTTGCCAACATCTATTTCTTGGTCATGGAGCTATTTTTGCATCAAGTCTCCACCCTTTCTGTGGAACACTGGTGTTAAGCACCACCCTGACTCCCTTTACCAAGTGGCACTTCTCAGTATAGCAACTAAAAATGTCTACAGGCCATACCCTTCACTTCCTTGAAAGTCAGGTTAATCTGACCAATACAGAAGGCCCAAATGCCTGGGTGTATAATGAAGTGTGTGTGTGTGTGTGTGTGTGCGCGCGCGCGCGTGCGTGCATACGTACATTTGTGTATGTATTAAAGTCAAGTGTCACATACTCTTGATGTTTTAGGTATACATTTTATACGCTATCAACAGACAGGTATAAATTCCTACTTCTCAAATAAGGCGGTTGATTTCAAGGTTTAAAATATTTATCAGTGTCATATATCTTTGTATAATAGAGTAAAAAGAAAACTCCAAAAGGGGGCACAATTCCATACATACTATGCTGTTCATTTCAGAGGACTCATAGCTGCCAACAGGATGGACAGTTCCAATGGGTTCCAGGCCCTCTTCATCCCACATGTATGTTCCATCAGAGCTATCAGATGGAGAGAGTTCAAACGAAGACCCAGCTCTGTAATCCGTATCTGGTGAAATCAAGTTATTTCCAGTGGTATTATGCTTTGTACATTCACTCCTGTCTTCAGATGATTTTAAAAGAAAGGAAAAAACATGAATTTACAAAACAGTCATTTCTCGTTTCTAAAATATATAAGCTTTAATAATCCAATGTATTATAACAGCATTTGGTTCAAAAATTGTAATGGCAGCATTTTTCTAAATTCTAAATAAACAACAAAAAATAGGCAAAGTTTTAAAAATAAGCTGCTGAACCACTTTGTAGTAAATATAAAACTCACTCTGCAACATTTCTCACATCCTCACATTCCTTTAGTATTTCTCAAGATGCTGAATTTGAACCACTGTTCAGGAAATGTTCCCCGTCTCTGTGACCTGTTTAGCCTCACAGGTGTATCCTGAACAGGAGAAAATGCGTTCTAGACATCTTCCATTTTGGGAGAGCTGCAGACTACAGGAGTTCAGTGCATCACTGTGTGACCTAGTCCCTTGACTAGGCATGCCTTTGTGCACTCCTTCAGTATTCATTTTTCAGGATAATTGAACAAATAACCTTCATCCTGCACTAAGTACCAATATAGCCAAGTTTAAGAAGAGAGGTTTAATACACATTCTCTCCTAAGTAACATTAAGTAAATAATGCTTCAGAGAGTATCACCATAAGAACTACTAACCAAAAACGTTCCCTAGTATAGAAAGCATTCAACTGCACACTGCCTGTTATGATAGGCATTTGCTACAGCTTCACTCTTAGCGGACTGCTATGATGATTACAGTGAATGGTAATCTTTAATGGCGAGCCACTCCCAGGCAGAGCAGAAAAGAGCATTTGGAAAGCACAGCCTACACTCTATGGGAATCAGCCTGATACAGACAGCCCCTAAAACAGCAAAGTCTGAAGAGTTTGGACTGATTCTATCCTAGATAAGATGAAAACAGGATCAAAACAAACCACAAGACTGATGTCCTGCTGCTCCACTTTTATCTAGACTGAAGACTCCTCCATGAAACAGCATCTTGGAATCTATCAGAAGATAATCCTAGATGTTAGCTGTTAGAAACCCTAGGTGAAAGCACATAAATTAAGGATATTCATACTTACCAGAGACACTTATATCGATCCACTCATCAGCTTTACTGAAGATCTGTTCGTTTTCCTTAGAAGAATCAAATATATCCTTTGATGGTCCGTTTTCACACTTTTCTTCTTTGAGAGTAATTTCCTCTGGAGTTATTCTAGTTCTGTTGGAGTCCTCTAAGTCTATAAAATCATCGCTGAAATCTTCACTTAAATCATTCTTATCAGAAGATGACAAAGATGACAAGGAAATATCATCCACATCATCACTCAGGTACCTAATTTTAGACTCATGCTTTATGGTCTGATCATTGTCTGTTTGATAACTTTCATTTTCAACTAGTTCTTGGTCCTTACCAGTAGAGCCATCCTTTGCCAAAACTATAGCTTCTTCTTCTACACACATGTCAGCAGGAGAATTTTTATTACTATCAACTGTCATAGTCCCAGAATATGAAGGTCGGCCAGATTTCAGTAGAGAGGGATGAACCATCCTATAACCCAAAGTAGAAGATACACCTGGGCCATTGGATAAGGTCAATTTCTTTCCACCAGCAGCATAAGGCCTATTAAAACCAAACCCCAAATGTTCATTCCCATTGAGTACTTCTGACTGCCGAGAATTTCTTGATAGCATACCTGACCGGAGAGGCATGCGAACAGGTAGCTGTTGGTTCTGATAAGGCTTTGTAAGGTCTACAGCTCTGTTGAAGGAATGTGATCTCGTTATGGATGAAGGCGGGAGGAATGAATTCTGAATGGAATGTGAAAAACTTTGTGACCTTACCATTTTTTCACAAGTAATAGATTTAGTGTTGTCTGGGGACTGTGCTAAACTTTCTCCAGAACTGCTTCTGGTGGCACAGGAGTTCACTCTTGGCTTCTGCATGTTACCAGGTGATTGGTTCCTATAAAACGTATTCAAATGTGACTTCGCATTGACCGAAGAATATGAAGTCCTTCCTAGTAATGTGCCTTTGGTGAATTTACCCAAGTTAGATGGTCCAGAAAAAGATTTTTGATTTAACTCCTCTGTAGATGACAAAAACATGGTGGATGGTCTTGCTAACTTGGATGTGAACAAGGAAGCACTTTTCAAGCCTCCCTTTATCCCGCTCCCATCCAGCGTTCCTGGAGCAGGAGCATGTTGCTCAGGATCAATTAGTTTATCATGTGCACTCTGAATACTGTTACGTTCTGCTGTATTTTCTGAACCAAATTGGTACTTATTTGCTTGCCTCCAATTAAATGAATGGGACAATGAACAATCAGAGCCATTATTTTTGATGTAACTTTTGACATTACTGTTCTTGGATGTCCCTAATAAAGTCACAGTGGCCCCATTTGCCATTGGCTGCAGTGTACTTCTCACAGATTTTGTTCCATATTTTGGCAGCCTGGAACCCAAAAACGTCTTGATTTGTGTTTTTTCTTCCATGAGCTATAAGGTGCATTTGTTCTTAAAACTTGACAGAATCTGTGGGGAGAAAAAAAGGAAGATTAAACATTGTTAAATAAGTATAATTACATGGATATATAAGTATGTATTTATTAATTATATGTAGAAAAATATCCATAACTCCTATGTAAAATAATCAAAATGTAAAACCATATTTAATCTTGATTTTTTTTTTTATTTTAACCTTAAAAAGATTTTTATTTATTATATTGTGTTCTGCCTGCATGTATGCCTACATGCCAGAAGAGGTCACCAGATCTCATTATCTGTAAGCCACCATGTAGTTGCTGGGAGTTGAATTCAGAACCTGTGGAAGAGCAGCCACTGCTCTTAACCTCTGAGGCATCTCCAGCACCCAGCACCCAATTTTTTAATAAACATAATACATCAAGACTGAAAAATTAAAGTGTTTTGTGGACCTGTGTTTGGTGGTGGCTACTTTGAGCTATTAATGTACTAAAAGGACTATGAATCCAAATTAGTTTCTGCAGTGGTCTCAAAAATCAAGCAGCCATGATTGCCCTACATAGTAAAAGAAACAGTAACAATACCCATGCCAGACAAACACTTTTTCCCATTTTTGATAGTGGCCTTTATCACAAAATCACACTTCCATACTCACACTTTTAGAATAGCTGTAAGAAAATTGGTAACAATACTGCATCACATGTAATGGTCGTTTTCCAATTGTTAAATAATATATAATAAAGAGTCTATCGTGTAGTGTCTCCTGCCTGCAGAAGTAGACTGAGGAGATAATGCTAGCCTTTTACTTCTCCATCCTTACTTTTCTGTCTAAAGTAAGCATAATACTTGTTATTTTCCAGTAGCTTCCAAAGAGGAGCTCGAAGGCCAAACACACTGTCACTACAAAGTGCTTCAGGGTCTGTCAGCTGGAGGGTGGGGGGAATGTTAGAATCTAAATGTACTTCTTCATACAGTAATATTATGGAGTTTTTAATATACAACTAATTGCCGAACAAATTAACCTGTGGTCTCAGAATGAAATTATTTTGATGTCTCATGTAAATTTTCTAAACCTGCATATCTGTGTGAGCCCTGCTATTGTCACTGGAAATAGACCTTTTGTCTGAATGCTAAGAGACTTTCTCCTACATCTGCTTGTAGCTCTAAAATAAACAAGCATTGTGATCCTGCCTCATTTCAGTAACCTTTGATGCACTTCACCTGGTATGTCCTTAAAAATGTAACCACTAACAATCTGAAAAAAATCCATGTTGGCTACATCTCTAATCATATAATCTGTAAGATACTGTAATAAATACTGTTTCTGAGCTTTCAAAGTTAATAGTATAAATACAAATTAGCATGACACATTTGAAAAACTAGTAAATCAAAGTTTCTTGGTTGAAAAGGAATCTTCTGCTGAATAAGAACTGGAAAATAGGAACAAATATTATTGAACATATACATAAGCAGCACCATGTCTATCACTTCATCATTAATTACTTAATCTCCATAATAATGGGGTGATAGTTTTTTTCCCATCTCCAAAAGCTAACTCAAGTCTAAAAAGTAAAATAATATCCATAAAGCTACAAAGATGATTTGTGTTCACTTCTGACATCAAGGTCAGTACAGACTGCCTTCAATGACAAAGGAATGAAATATATTGGGAGGTATAGCATCAGTGAAGGACAAGCATGAAGAAAGGAGGTGGGAGGCTAATGTCACAGGAGAAGCCTGAGGACTGTGGGGTCAGGGTGCCAAGTTCTGCAGAACACTCAAACCTGCCCCTTTGCAAACTCTTTTCATATCCATTACATTATCCTCTAAGAAACCACCCACTCACCTTCCTTATTTAGTACTGCAAGTAGCTTTTCAGAAGGTTACAAACTGCTTGAATTTTAGGGATTTAATGGGCAAAAATTTGTTACTTAATCTAGCGGCAATTAACTGAACAATGCTAATGACTAAACAGGCATGTTTTCTAATTTGTGTTATTCAGTTACTTCTCCTGACATCCTCTTTGCCCAGTTTTTCCTGGCTTTCATATACAACATAAGCTGATTCAAATGCTTAACTATGGCGATTATGTAAGAAAGGAAACCTCCAAAGATTTAAAACTGTACCTTTCACTCCAGGTCCTTCATAGTTTTAAAAAGAAGGTACAAGGTTCAATACAAAGCCCCATCATTCATCAGCTTGACCTTTTCTGTCCTACTACAACTTGCTTTTTAATCACATGGTACCAAACTTGCAAAAGTTAGGCTCAAGGAATCTGTGACTTTGGAAGATTCATCATCTTAGTCGGTGTAAAGTCAAAGTGTATTATTACTTGCTAAAACTTGAATTGAGAGGGCAGCAAGAATACTAGCATAAAAAGTGGAATCAGAAGCTCTCCTGGTGAAACAATATGCATATTTTCTCCCAGGTATTACCAGAGTTCAGGAGTGCAAACTATGGAGCATGCAAATTTCATTAATATGTTAAAGGCCAGGAAAAGAATCTAGTGCCACTGATGGAATAATAATCAAGCCTATTAATACCTTTGTAGCTACTGAAGAAGGAGATATGCAGACATAACAAATAAATGCAGACTTTGTATACACTGGTGCTTGTCAAATCTCAACATGCAACAGTTTAATATTGTGGTTTATATCAGGCTTGCTAGAACAAAGTTCTCAAATTTTAATTAAATGAGCAATAAGGGCAGGGTCACAAAAAATCAAGTGTTAGAAGAGAATAGTAACACCAGTGACTTTAACAAGGATGGATGGTTACTGGGATGTGAATTCGCTAGTGGCACATATACTCTGTAGATTGAATTTAGTATGTTACCCCACTAAGTTTGTCCTATATATTATAGATAATTAATACTTATATAAGAAACATTATGAAAGCTGGGTGGTGGTGGTGCACGCCTTTAATTCCAGTGCTCAGGAAGCAGAGGCAGGCAGATCTCTGAGTTTGAGGCCAGCCTGCTCTTCAGAGCGAGTTTCAAAATAGTCCAGGGAAAAGACAGTGTTGCCTGCCTGCCTTTGCTTCTCCCTGAACAAGTGTCCATCACTGTTGCTACTATTAGTTGACACCAAACTCCAGCTTCCTCAGCCCTCCAAATTATGCCTACTAACAAGATTCTCCAAGAGCTTCCAAGCCTTCTGCACTGGTCTGAAACCACTAAACCAGGCAGCTTTGTGCACTGAGCTACAGACTTCCAACATATCCAGCAAAAAAGCAATCACTGTTGGTCTAAGTGCAATCCCTAATACAACCTAATAAATCTCTTTATAATGTACATACATTCAATTCATTCCATTTCCCTAGAGAACCCTGCCAAATTCAAACAGACATGAATAGAAATTTTATTTTCACAGAAAAGTACATTTTAGTAGTTCTGACAGGCTCCAACACAGTAAAAGAACTAAAGTGAAATCAATCCTGACACCCTGTTATGAATGAAAAGAAGTTTAAAAAAAATCACCTATGAAATAACCTATCACAACTGTCTGTTTACAAAAAAAGGTAGGAACAGAAAAACTCTAAAGCAACACAGGACATAACCAGTTAAATCTAGACTGTGAAAATCTTTTACAAGGGAAAGACTCAAGTTTTGTTTTTTTTTTTTTTCCCCCCTCAAGGGATGAAGAGGTACTGTTACAAACAGAAGAAACACATTAACTAAAGGAATGTGCAGAATTCAAAAGGATCCCTAATTTAAACAAATTCCCAGTAACAGATTTTTTTTTTTTAGACCATTCAGGAAAATTAAACAAAGACTGGGCTGGATCACACTAAGAAATAGGGGAAGGAAAGATTAATTTGCAGACTAGTCTGGCCTTGAACTCAAAATCTGTCTCAGCTTCTCAATCAGATATAAATTTTAATTTAGACAAAGTAGAGTTACTTCCTGCAGCCAGAGAAACATTAGAGGTCTAAGTGACTCTTCATCCTTTCACTCAAACATGAACACATGAGGGAACAGTCGACTTCCCTCCATCAGTCTCTGCATGCCTAGCATAGCATACGCTCACTACCAGTTCGAGGTAGCATCTAAACATAATCACAGTTTGTGTGAGTATGCAACTGCTTGAACTAGTGCTCAACCAAGCTGCAAGAAATGGCGACCAAGATAAACTGAGGTCATTTTATAAATTTTCAACAGCAGTTTTTATAACTTAATGCTATAGAAATTTGAAGATGTCTTACTTTGTAGTTAAATAATCCCCCAAATCCCTGGAAGCAAAAACTAAAGAAGCAAGAACAATCTGTATGAATTCTAAATATCTAAATTCTACCACCTACAGGAAATAAAACATGGGCTGAAATTAAAATACATACCTAAAAACATACATTGAACAACATTCTCTTTCCTGGCAGAATTAGAGTATGCTTTCTAAAACACCAGTACAATGTTCCTCATACCACCATACATTAATTTTGCTATGTACTAGGCATCCTTGACATGCTATTACTATACATGGTACACACATGAATCTCACAGACAGAATGCTCTAGCAAAGAGTAGACATTATAGCACATACACAAACATAAACAATGTTATAAAGAGGAGGTTTGGGGATAATACACTGAAAACTAAATCCAGTGGAGGAATAAAAAGTTAAGAGGATTCAAGATTCCTATGGTCAGTGTAGATGGTCATTAGCCCAAGATTATTTCACTAACCATTTACATATGATTTGTTGGGGAGTGCTGGGGTTCACCCACATGCGCTTGCACGTATAGTCTCTTTGGCTCAGAATACACAACTCTTCACCTTTCTCGCATTCCTCACACCATGATCTTCTTATTTCCTGTCAGTTCACCAAGAAACAATCCTCAGACCACTCCAAGTTCATTTTCCCTACACTGGGGGCCAAGTTCTTCACTTTCAATCTATGACTTTCATCCATTTATTTTCTCACTTATGCCCTAGGACATAGTGGTGGTGGTGGCGGCGGCGGCGGCGGTGGTGGTGGTGGTGGTGGTGGTGGTGGTGGTGGTGGTGGTGGTGGTGGTGGTGGTGTGTGTGTGTGTGTGTGTGTGTGTGTGTGTGT